TACTTGGAGCCTACTCTCAGCTCCTTGAGGCTGCTAGCATTGTTATCTCAGATGCTCCCTCCATCTTTCAAGTGGCAAGGACCCGTGGAGTTTTTTATATGCTTTGAAAAATCTTTGACTTCCCTTCTGCCTTTCTCTTTTGATGGAGAAAGTGTTTTGCTTGTTAGGGCCCATGTGATTGGGTCAGATCCACTCTAATGATCTCCTGATATTAAGGCCAACTGTGACCTATAACATAACACAATCATAGTACTGACAGTTCATTTTATCAGCTCCAGGGATTAGAACAGGTTTTATTTTGGGGGAAAGGGCACTTTGAAATTTTGCCTGCCATAAAGCTTCAGTAGAATTTTGTAAGACCTACATGAAAAAAAGTATAAAACATCCTTGAAGGACATAAAAGAAAACCATATAGGTTTCACTTTGTAAATATGCTGTCATTACTCCCCAAGTCATCCAGTCTATCAATTCAATTTAATTACAGTCAAAACACCAACAGAATTATTTATTAAATTAGCAAGCTGAACATCATCCTTAGTGGGGAAAAATGGAGAGCTTTTTCCCTAAGGTCAGGAACATGACAAGGATGTCCACTTTCACCTCTTTTATTCAACATAGTACTGGAAGTCCTAGCCACAGCAGACAACAAACAGAAATAAAAGACATCCAAATTGGTAAGGAAGAAGTAAAACTTTGACTATTTGCAGATGACATGACACTATATATAGAAAACCCAAAAGACTCCACCAAAAACCTGCTGGAACTGATAAATCCAGTAAAGTCAGAGATTACAAATCAATGTACAGAAATCTGTTGCATTTCTCTGCACTAATAATGAAGCAGCAGAAAGAGAAATTAAGAAAACATTTTTGTTTTTAATTGCATCCCAAATAATAAGATACTTAGGAATAAATCTAACCAAAGAGCAGAAAGACCTGTATTCTGAAAACTATAAAACACTGATCAAAGAAATTGAAGGTGGCACAAGGAAATGGAAAGACATTCCGTGCTCATGGACTGGAAGAACAAATATTGTTAAAATGTCTATACTACCCAAAGCAATCTGTACATTTAATGCAATCCCTATCAAAATAACCAATAGCATTTTTCACAGAACTAGAACAAAGAATCCTAAATTTGTATGGAACCACAAAAGACCCCGGATAGCCAAAGCAATCCTGAAAAAGCAAAGCAAAGCTGGAGGCATCACAATTCTGGACCTCAAGTTATATTACAAAGCTGTAGTTATCAAAACAGTATGGTACTGGCATGTAGACACATAGATTAGTGGAATAGAATAGAAAACCCAGAAAAAAACCCCCACAATTATATGGTCAATAAATATTCAATAAAGCAGGAAAGAATATTCAATGGAAAAAAGTGTTCTTCGACAAATGGTGTTGGGAAAACTGGACAGCAACATGCAAAAGAATGAAACTTGACCACTTTCTTACACCCTATACAAACATATATTGAAAATGGATTAAAAACCTAAATGTGAGACCTGATACACAGGCAGTAACCTCTTTGACATTGGCCATAGCAACTTCTTTCTAGATATGTCTCCTGAGGCAAGGGAAACAAAAGCAAAAATGAACTATTGGGACTACATCAAAATAAAAAGCTTCTGCACAGTGAAGGAAACAACAAAACTAAAAGGCAACCTACAGGATGGGAGAAGATATTTGCAAAAGACATATCTGATAAAGGGTTACTATCCAAAATATATAAAGAACTTAAACAACTTGAAAAAAACAAATCTAATTTAAAAATGGGCAGAAGACCTGAACAGACATTTCTCCAAAGAAGACATACAGATGGCCAACAGACACATCAGGAGAATGAATATAAATCATAACTAGAATGAGATATCACCTCATACCTGTCAGAATGGCTAAAATCAAAAACACAAGAAACGACAGGTGTTGGCAAGGATGTGGAGAAAGGGGAACCCTCCTGAACCATTGGTAGGAATGTAACTGGTGCAGCCACTGTGGAAAACAGTATAGAGGTTCCTCAAAAAGTTAAAATTAGAACTACCTTACAATCCAGCAATCACACTACTGGGTATTTACCCAAAGAATCCAAAAACACTAATTCAAAGGGATATATGCACCCCTGTGTTTATTGCAGCATTACTTACAATAGCCAAACTGTGGAAGCAGCCCAAGTGTCCAATCAATAGATGAATGGGTAAAGAAGAGGTGGTATATATACACAATGGAATTTTTTAAGGGGAGGAGGGGCAGAGGAAGAGAGAGAGAGTGAATCTTAAGTAGGCTCCATGTCCCAGCATGGAGGAAGCTGGACGCTTAACTGACTGAGCCATCCAGGCACTCCTGGAATATTTTTTTTTTTTAAGATTTATGTTTTTAAGGGGGGAGGGGCAAAGGTAGAGGGAGAAGGAGAATCTCCAGCAGACTCTTTGCTGAGTGCAGAGCCCGACATGGGGCTTTATCCCAGGAACCTGAGATCATGACCAGAGCTGCAATCAGGAGTCAGATGGACACTCACTGAATGAGCCATCCAGGTGCCCCTACAGTGGAATATTATTTGGCCATAAAAAAGAATGAAATCTTGCCACTTGCAACAACATGGGTGGATCTCAGAACAATGTTAAGTGAAATAAGTCAGAGAAAGACAAATACTGTATGATTTCACTCATATGTGGAATTTAAGAAACAAAACAAACAAAGGGAAAAAATAGACAAACCGATGAATAGACTCTTAACTATTGAGAACAAACTGATGGTTATCAGAGGGAAAGTGGGGTGGGGAGGATGAGTGAAACAGGTGATGGGGATTAAGGAGTGCACTTGTTGTGATGAGCACCTGGTGATGTATGGAAGTGTTGAATCACTATATTGTACACCTGAAACTAATATAACACTATGTTAACAATACTGGAATTTAAATAAAAAAAGTAGCAACCTGCTACTAAATGTCCTCTAATAAAGAAAAATGTCTAAGAATTTGCAAAGACAATTTTAGAAAAGAATGGTGGATTCCAACAAATTACACTAAAACTGAATTATTAAAATCTTGGAGGATTGGTTCAGGAATAATCTGTGGGAAAGATTAAGGGCTAATTTAGTAGATGAAGTTTTTATCATATCAAAAGAGAAATGATGACCTTTTCAGTAAAATGTCTATCCATTTGGAAACAAAGTTAGGCCCTTATCCCAAGCACAAAAATAATTTACAGATGGAATAAAGGGCTAAATATACAAAGTAAAATTGTACAGGGGCATCTGGGTGGCATAGTCGGTTAAGCGTTTGACTCTAGATTTCGGCTCAGGTCCTGATCTCAGGGTTGTGAGATTGAGCCCCGTGTCAGGCTCCACACTAGGTGTGGAGTCTTAAGATTCTCTCTCCTTCTCTCTCTGCCCCTCCCATTTGCACACACGCTCTTTCTCTCAAATAAATAAATAAATCTTAGAAAAAAATTGTGCAAGTATTATAAATACTTAGGAGAATTTGCTCATAAACTTTAGGTTAGAGAATGCCTAACTCAAATGCTAAGAAATGTAATTGGTTAGTAAGCAGATGATGGAGCACTTACTTTGTTAAGTGTCAGGAAAATGCAAATTAAAACAGTTACCCTCTCCCCTCATTTTTGTTCAGTCAGATGGGGAGAATTTTGCTCAACCAAGTGTTGGCAGAGGTATGGGGAAATGTACTTTCATTGAATAAATTGTAATGGTCTTCTTGGCAGTGCCCATTTGTAAGTATGTGCATCCTTAGAAAGAGTAATTTTACTTCCAGATTTTTACCCTAACTAAACATGTAAGTACATGAGCACAAAGGAACATTGATTGGATGTGGCATTGTTATTATAGGAGAACATGTCCCAAACCAAAGATCCATCATGGAAGGGCTTTTTGTTTATGAATTATCCAATGGATTTTGAAAAAGACACCAATTAAGCTTAATCAAGGTAATTTAGAAGGAAACAAAAATACCTTTGGGATTTGTGTAACAAGAACGGTCTTCTCTCAGTGTGTGCTTTTATCATCTCTTATCCATTTTACAATACATTTAAACCGACTATGCCAACATTTCCCTTACGTTACAACTCCATTTTCTAAAAGCAGTGCAATTTTGAGTACCTCCCATATATGAGCAAACAAGTGATGGTAATTCTCTGGGGGAAACCACAGCTGAACAAAGCCATACTTCATTAACGCAGTGTATGACTTCTTGGGGATTTCTCTTACTCCCCTGCTGTACCTGCCAGTGGTGGGGCAAAAGAAAGGAAAAGTCTGTATCTGTAGACCTCTGAAATGGATTATTTTCAAGATTAATATGATATGTGAAGTAGTGCTTGCTGATAAATGTTTGTCTTTAGATATATGATAATTGGTATTTAATATATTGGGTCTAATATATTAGATCTTAGAAAGCAGCCAGGGGAAATGTTCTCTTTATATCTGTGCTTATGTGAAAGAGATAAAGTAAAATTTCTTCACAAGGGCTTTTCAGAACATTAACTTTGGCAGCTTTAATCTATGGGTTTATTAGTTGAGGATTGAAAATAAAAGCTTTGGCTATTGTTATTTTAATTCTGTGTATCTTCTGTGTTGTGAGAGTAATGCTGTAGGTGAAAATTGCTTTTTAAAGTGAAAGAACTGTGGGATTTTAACCAACCTGGATGGTTTTTGATGAATTCATTAGATGCTCTTCATATAAAAGATTATCTTTATTAATAGAAGAATTTTGTCCTGAAGGTAATTTACAATCCCCTAAGAAAAGAAGCTTGTATTAATTAAAAACCCACTACAATTTAAAAATGGTTTTTCAAAGGAATTTCTTTAATACACTTGCAACTCTACTTTTCTTCGTAATTGAGGCAAAACTTAAAGAGGGAACCATGGGCTAATAAAATTGCTTCCATTGTGGGCGAAGCTAAGACTGGATGACTTATGTCATAGTGACTATGTCCCACTGAGAAAGATGAGACACTGTGTTTAAAAAAATAAAACTGTGAATTATTTTTGCAGAAGTCAACGAAAGGTTCCGTTGTCCTTGACCACGTATTCCGTCACATAAACCTTGTGGAGATAGATTATTTTGGGCTGCGTTACTGTGACAGAAGCCATCAGACAGTGAGTACAATGACCTCCTATTCCATTTTTCTAGTTATAAATTTCACTCTCTCTTTGGCCTTTGCTGATGTGATTTTAGGTAGGTAGTTTCTTTGTCGCTGAAAATGACTTTGAAAGCCTTGAACATGTTTTTCCTTGCTAATGTGTTTTGCATTTTTTTCCTCTTTTGCCAAAAGTCTATAGAGTGGTGGGGTTTACAACTTGTATGTGTGTACTCCTCTTTGTAGACGACTTCCCTGGTTTACATTTTTACAACCATATCATAGAGCATACTTTTCATGTATGCTGTTAGGAGAACTGAATAAGCCAGGTAATGTGTTAGGAGGCAAGAAGCTAGTCTTCTGAAGTGACAGATATTACTTACTGCCTTTTAAGAAAATAAATAGTTAAATAGAAAAAATACAGTATGAAAAGGTGCTTATCTAAGCTTTAGAAGTTGGAAGAGTAGTTATAAAAGAAATAAGTAGGGGTTTTCACTCCTGAGCTTGATGGAGTAAGTAATAAAGGCAACCAAACTTTTGGTGTCTGATGTCAGTCTTCATGAAGGTCTAACATCTTCCTAGCTGGTTGGATGGTGGAATTACTAAGAAACTCACTGCATTGGTTAGTATGGATTCTATATGGTTATAAGGCTAAAAAGCTATTTCTTGGATGATGAGCAGAGGAAAAGACTTTGGAGGTGGTGGTTTGGGGGTATGAAAGGATATTTATTAGTGCCTTTTGTTTTAGTCTAAGAAAGGTCTTAACCTCAGACACAGTTTTATTATGCAGAATGCTTATATGCTTACCTTAAAAGTCCCGTTTGACTTTTATTTTTCATGTTACTCAACTCCTGTCGGAATAAAGATTTCCTCCTCTTCCTTCATCAGTTCTCCCAGCCTCCACTGGATCATCTGGGGTCTATTCAGTGAGGCACATGATTGTCTGAGTGGGGTTTTTCTACCCCGGTCACAGGAATGTGCTAGGATGAGAAGAGACAGACAAATGGAATGCTATTGATGGTGATAACTTGTGATTTTTCCTGAGCTAGTTTCATAATCTGTTTTGTTTCACAGGAGGATTTCACAAAGCAGGAATAAAAAATTGGGTGTGTTGGTTAGCTTTCCATAGAAAGGAATAGCTTTCTAAAGGCAAACGGTCATTAAGGCACACTTCAAAGAAAGGGAAATTGACATCTTCAGGAGTTCCCTGAATTCTGTCTTGTATGGGCCATAAGTCACTACTGCAGAACTATAAATCTATATTGAAAGATTAAATAGAAGGCTATAGACGCTCTCTTGCATTACATTCATATTTTTGAAAGAACATTTTTCCTAGTAGAGAAAACTACTGTTTCCTGATCTTATCTAGTATGTTCAGACTTTGCCTGGAAAGATTGACTGTCTTGCTAAAATTATATAGACCTTATCTCTCTTTTTTTAAACTTTGCAAAGGAAAAATATATATGAAAAGTCAGAGAATCTCAACTGAGCCACCCAGGCGCCCTGCCAGAGAATTTCAAACAACAGCCTGTATCATTGCAAAAAAGAATTAGCCGTTGTTATTGATTCAAAATTTTCTAGGGCTTATATTAAAACAAACAAAAATTTTTTTTCTCTTACCTTATTCTTAAGGGTTGACATTTGTGATGTGTTTGCAATGAAGGTTTTAGAAGAAACTACAGTTAAAAGGAGAAAGCTCTTAAGTCATGTTTTTTTGATACTATAAGAACCTGATATCAGGTGTGTAAATCACATGAAAAAACCATTTTTTGCCTCCTGAATTTAGTTATTTCTAGTGAACGAAGATAAAATAGAGGTGATTTATAAATATTCCTTAGTCTTTTCATGCTCAAGTGTATTGTCTGATTGTCTTACATATTTTTTTAATTGTAGGAAACTATAAGAAGGTTATGAAAATTTGCCCCTTCTTTAGATAATCGTTTCATCAAAGCATACTGGAGGGCTGATAGTGTATCTAGGTAGAAAATGTGATTCCATTACTGATTTGCTTCTCTTGGGTATTGAGGCAGAACTAAGGATTTCCTTTGGGGGAAAAGCTCTGGAAGGCTCTTCATTCCAGCCGGGCAACCACCCAAGGCTCAACTTTATCTCTAGGGAAATTGTTGATGAACCCAAATTCATATTTCTCTGTCTTTCTCTGTTAGTAGGAGCAGGTCTACATAGCCCTTACTTAAGGCAAACATTTAAAGAATAACCCTATGTTAAAATGGCACAGGACACAGTGAAAAATTTTTGTCTTTAATGATTTCCAGGAATTTGCTTGAATTACAATCCATTAGATTAGATTTTGTGTATTGCTTTGCTTTTTCTGCACCAAAAGGTTTACTTTTAAGAGGGAATGCTTTGTAACAATCTTTAAAATAAGTAAGATCCACATGGAAAAGACTTTGAGGGCACCTGGGTGGCTCAGTCGTTGGGCGTCTGCCTTCAGCTCAGGTCATGATCACAGGGTCCTGGGATCGAGCCCTGCATTGGGCTCCCTGCTCAGCGGGAAGCCTGCTTTTCCCACTCCCCCTGCTTGTGTTCCCTCTCTCGCTGTCTCTCTCTCTGTCAAATAAATAAATAAAATCTTTAAAAAAAAAAAAAAGACTTTGAGGCCCTGAGAGGGACCCCTTAGGTCAAATCTTGAGGCAAATAAGAAAAGAAAGTGGGAGAAGGAGCTGGGGGTAAAAGGGATTAAGGTGAGAATTAAGAGGTGGCTCACATCAGCGAGAAGCCCTAGACTCCCTCCCTCGCTCCCTCCCCTTGACAGTGGATCATGCATTGGGGCCAGGCCCAAACTGGGTGGGGGTGGACTGGGAGGGCATGTCCCTGGGGACACGTGGACCTCCCATAGCAGGGAACTTGTCTGTCCTGGAGGAGAAGGGTAGGCCGGAGGCTGGATCTAGACATGTCATCACCACCCCCATCCATCACCATCCTTGTCATTAGTGTACCAGAAATTGTGGAGCATTTTCCATATGTTGTCATTACCTGCCCAAAATGGCTGTGCAAGCTAAATATTATTATCCTACAATCAGAGATGAAGAAACGGAAGCTGAAAAAGTTAAGCCACTTCCCCAAGGTCTGTAACCCAGGAAATATTAGGACCAGAATTCAAACCCAAGTCTTCACATCTCCAAGACCGTCAACCACTATCATATCCTGAGTGGAATGCATGTAAGATGGAAAGGTTTTCAGACCTAGGATACTGAGGAATTCTTTTTCTGTGCAATTTATATACTTAAGGTTTGTTGAGAGGAGTTAAATGGTATTTTCCAACAAGCAGACTTCTCAGATTGACCCGGGGCAAGAGAGTTTATTTAGGCCTTTGTGTGTTTATGCCTTCATGTGGTAGCTCAATAGCAATGTAAAGAATGCTGAATATGTTCAGGCCCTGTGCTACAGCTTTCTCTGTTTTTCACATAGTCTCAGGAATTCTGGGGAAAGGGAATTTGCTGCCTGGAATATTAAACATACAAGTTTTATTAAACTATACATTTCATAAAACCAAGTCCTGGGAAAATCATGCAACAAATGCATTGATTCAGGTGTTACCTATGTGTGCAGAGTAACAGCTAGGCAGAAATAAACCTTGGTAAAGCAAACTGCTCTCCAAGGAGTACAGCTGACTTGATTTGGAACACTCTGGGCACCATAATTGCTTCACTTTTCAGGTAAGGTTTGTAAAAGGACCTCTAGGAAGTAAAGACATTTCTTCATGAAGACATGCTTATTGAGACTGAGTTAACACAATGCTGCCTGTGTTAATTTAGGCTTACTTGTACAAAACAGTCCCTTAAAGATGCACAGTGGGATTCATGTACTTGTGGTTCCTTTTCCTAAAGACACACGGGAGAGCACTTAGCCTGGGTATATAGCCTACTTTCTCCTCTGCTTTGGCCTGTGTCATCCAGACTGGTCTGTGCAGGGGATGTAGCTCTCTCCCCCCACCCCCCTCCGCCCCAGGGCCTTGGTTCAGTTGAACAGAAAATTCCCAGCCTTGGTTTAAGGTAGATGAGAGGGATTACAAGAACACACATGAGAGTCAGAAAAACCCAGATTTATTGAAGGGCCCTGCCACTTACTAGCTGTAAATATTTAAAATTCTCTTAAGTTCTTACCATTGATCTAGAACAGCAGAACTTCCAGAGAAGTTAGCTCTCTCTAGTATGTTCTAGGAGTGCCTATCATCAGTTTAATGGCTAGCTCAACAGGAACACCTTCTCATTCTCTGTATGTGGTGTGTGGCTCAGCAGTTCACCTTGGTGTGTCTTTGGCTTGAATAGGTTCCTAGCCTTCTCTTGCCCTATCATCCTAATCCCTAGCACCTGTGAGCATCACCTTACATGGCAGAAGGGACTTTGCAGGTGTGATTAAGTTAAGGCTCTTGTATAGAGGGATCATCCTAAATTATTGAAGCAGGATCACTGTAATTAGAAGTCTCCTTATACATGACAGAGGGAGGCAGGAGAATCAGAGAGAAGGAAATGTGACAGTGGAGGCAGAGGTCAAAATCATGTGATTACTGGAAGGGGGCCTTGATCCAGAGAATGAAGGCAGCCTCTAGAAGCCAGAAAAGGAAAGGAAACAGATTCTGTCCTGGAGCTTCCAGAAGAAATACAGCCCAGTGTCTTAGTTTGGGCTGTTCTAACAAATCACCACAGATTGGGTGACATGAACAAGAAATTCTGATTTATCCTACTTCGGAGGCTGGAAACCTGAGATTAGAGTGCCCGCGTGATTGGGTGAGAGCACTCTTCCAGGTTGTAGACAATCCAATTCTTGTAACGGCACATGGCAAAAAGGGAGCTAGTTAGCTCTGTCACCTCTTCGTGTTATCCCATTCATGAAGGCTCTACCCTTGTGACCTAATCACCTCTCAAAGGCCCCACCTCCAAATTCCAACATATTAGGTATTTGGATTAGGATTAGGTATTAGGATTAGGGTTTCAACATAGGAATTTGGTTGGGGATGCCACAAACATTCAGTTTGTTGTACCCAGTGAGACCATTTTG